TTTTTATATTAGTTTCTTGTGTCACAAGTTTGGTTGAAAAGTATCTATATATGGATTTGAAAATGTTTTGGATTTAAAGAAGGTTTCCGGTTTTATGTAGGAGCGGAATGCAACATAGGAAGAATTCTTGGCAAGATGGAATGCCAGGAACAACATGTCCGATCCCGCCGGGTAAAAACTTTACATACCATTTCCAAGTCAAGGACCAGATCGGCAGTTACTTCTACTACCCAAGCTTAGGTCTTCACCGTGCGGCCGGTGGATTCGGTGGCCTCCGAATCAACAGTAGACCGCTCATTCCTGTTCCATATGCTGATCCTGAGGATGACTACACAGTTCTTATAGGGGATTGGTACACTAAATCACATGTAGCTCTCAAGGAAAATCTTGATAGCGGCCGGTCGATCGGGCGGCCTGAAGGAGTTTTGATCAATGGGAAAGCGGGAAAACCGGATGGAACCGGTGAACCAATTTTCACGATGAAACCGGGAAAGACATACAAGTATAGGATTTGCAATGTGGGTTTGAAAATGGCATTGAATTTTAGGATTCAGAACCATAAGATAAAGCTTGTGGAGTTAGAAGGATCTCACACTCTGCAAAACGTATATGACTCACTTGATCTTCACGTGGGTCAGTGTTTTGGTGTCCTTGTGACCGCTGATCAAGAACCTAAAGACTATTACATGGTGGCCTCTACGCGGTTCCTCAAAAGCGTTCTTACGTCCACAGCTCTTCTCCGTTATGAGGGAGGTAACATTCTTTAAATTAAAATTCTTAACTCTAGAAACTCTACGTTCGACATAAACAGTTACATCTAAATGTTCTCATTAACATACAAAAAAAATAGTTTGCCAAGATAGAGTAATATGCCATGCTTCAAACGTAAAACAAAAGTTTGGGTCGACTTTACTGCTTTATTTATTTTATTTTTCTTGTCAGCAAAACAATTTTACTGCTTTATTTATAAAAGTTACAAAATATCAGATTACGGTTGTAAAACCCTAACAAGTAGAGTCACTGACGTTTTAATGGATTTTTAGATGAGTTTATTCATAATACATATTAGTACTATTTTGTATCATACTATTAAGTATTAACTGATTAAAAGTTTTTGTTTAGTTGAAAGTAATCTCTTCCATGGCGTCTTGTTAAAATTTTCACAGAGAAAAAACTATTAGAATTTTGTCATATCTATTACCTTGTTGTTGTACTATTTTCTTGAAATATTGAATTCAGGGATCAAATCCTAAGAAGATCATATAAGACACTAATAAGTTTTTTTTTTGGGTTATATCTCTGTACCGTGCAGGCAAAGGTGCAGCATCTCCTGAACTTCCTAAACCTCCGGTGGGTTGGGCCTGGTCACTAAACCAATTCCGATCATTCAGATGGAACCTGACCGCAAGTGCAGCTAGACCAAACCCTCAAGGCTCGTACCACTACGGTAAAATCAACATCACACGGTCCATAAAACTAGTGAACACCGTAGGGAAAGTTGAGGGAAAGAAGCTCAGGTTCGCGCTTAGCGGAGTGTCACACGTGGAAACTGAAACGCCGGTTAAGCTGGCTCAGTATTTTGGTGTAGCCGACAAGGTGTTCAAGTACGACACTATTAAGGACGAGCCGACCAAAGCCGACACTAGTAATATTTTGGTGCAGCCAAACGTTTTGAACATCGAGCACCGTGCGTTCGTGGAGATTGTGTTCGAGAATCAGGAGCGGACTTCACAGTCTTGGCATCTTGATGGATACTCTTTCTTTGCTGTCGCGTAAGTATATTTAATATCTCTCTCTCACATACATATATATACACACTAACACACATCAACTCTTTCCACACAAGATATATAGTTATTTTCCTTTATCATATGCATATAACAAACTTCAGATAGTCTCTATACAGACTATACACAATATTCATCAACTTAAAGGCAAGTAACACTATAAAACTATATCATGCTTAGGACTTTTTATATAGAATACATGACATATAATATTATTTATGCTAAGGAACGTACATACACACCCACACATATATGTAGTAATGAAGTTTCATCTTCTAGAATCTGTTTCTGTATATGATGTGATAAAATAAATTGAGACCTATGGAGTTTTATAGTAGAAAGTCATAAAACAAACATGAGAACTATATAGTGCTGAAGTTTCATCTTCTAGAATCTGTTTATGTATATGATGTGATAGAATAACCAACGACTAGAGAAAAGATAACGAAATTTGATTACCATCTGTAATTTAATTAGTTTAGGTAAAAAATATTTGGTTCAATGAGAGGACTAATGTGTGTGAGAGTAGGGTTGAGCCAGGGAAGTGGACGCCGGCGAAGAGGAAGAACTATAATCTATTAGACGCAGTATACCGACACACAATCCAAGTTTATCCCAAATGTTGGGGAGCCATCTTGTTGACTTTTGACAACTGTGGGATGTGGAATATCCGGTCTGAGATTCTCGAGAAACGTTACTTAGGTCAACAGCTCTATGTTCAAGTCGGTCCACCTGTATTATCCGAGAGGGATGAGTACAGCTTTCCGGCAAACGGTCTCCGCTGTGGCATTATCAAGGACTTGCCTGATCCTCAGCCTCCCAGGGACTCGCTTTGATTTGGTTTGGTTCAGCTCAAGGTTTATTACCTTCTTATACACGTATGTCCTTAAATTGTTTTGTTTCTGTAGGTCGAGGTGAAAGTGTTGTGAGATGTCTGTAGTCCATTGCACGTTTATGATACATGCTATTTTCTGATTTGTTTAAGCCAAAGTTGCGCTGAATTCGAATGTAGGAAGTGATATGCTTTTGAATGGTAAACATATACCCCCAACTAGATGATAGCCCGCGCCATGCGCGGAGTGAGCTTTTTAACAATATGTTGTATTTAAATATATATTTTGCTATCAATATGGACATTTGGGTACTATTTGTTTCGGTTAGATTATGTTTGGTTTAGATCATTGCGGTTTGGTTTGAATTTTTACAGGTACAGATTGGGTTTAAGTTCGCATAACCCATTTAATTTTAATAAAAAGATTAAAATTCATATATACTTTAAGTTTTTCAAAACCTAAAAGTAGAAATAATATATAACATAAATTTGAAAAATGAATGACAAAATACTTAAAATTAACATTAAATTTATTTATCATCAATATTTGGACAAAAAATCAATAAATATTTCAAATATTTTTGGTATTTAGAGTATCGTTTGGTTATTTTACAAATTTGCATTTAACTATTTTACATATTTCTAAGTATTTTAGAATTTTTTAAAACATCTCATGTGTTTTGTATATTCTTCGATGTTAAATTTAAAAATAATTAATATATTTAAGAATATAAATCTGGTTCGAGTACACTCGGATATCCAAAAATTTTTGATTCAGTTTTGATTATCTAGATACCAAAATTTCGAATTCGCTTGGATATCTAACCAATTTTGCTTAAAAATTTGTATTCATTTTTTTGTTAGATTTGGTTCGATTATATTTAGTTTTTTTTTGTCCAACCATATATTTTTTTATTATACCAAAAATTAAAACGAAATGGATGATGGTTCATATTGATTTTGGGTATGCAAAAATTTTAAACAAAACACACTCTATTATGGGTGATCCATTTAGTTAACCATTATGAACTGTTTAAGACCCATTAGAAAAACGATTGGCTGAACTAAAATCGTTACCATTTGATCACAAAATTTCAGTGTGAGATTTTTCCCATCTTAAGTAATTTATGGTCGTTTTAAAAAAATTTAAAATATAACGTATAAGAACAAATATAAATTTTTTTATTATATAATTAATGTGATTTTTTAATTTATTTTAATAATATAAATTAAATAAAACATAACGAGTATAAAATTTTT